CCATCGTTGTAATTACATATAAAACTTCGTCTATACTCTAATAAAAAGTTTCCCAGACCAAAGAGGTCACCTTAATATCAAAAAAAAAAAAAAAAACCAAAACAATATAAAATCATAAAATATTTATCCCTGTGCTGGAGGCACAGGTTGCATGCTAGTTGTTGAATAAATGAAAGAAGCGTAATGAAAGATAGTGCGCAGAGATTGGGAAGGAGCACATTTGCATCCATAAATATGTACTGTACTAAGTTTATACACCATAGTGGCTGGCTTGAAAATCCAGACCAGAATGCCTTTTTTTGTATGGTGTAATACATTACGGAGACAAAATATAAATAGTGAAATTAATATTCACCAACTTTATTGAATAGTTTAAGTGTAACTTAATTATACATTACATTATAGATTATTATGCTAAGCAGAAAATTTAAATAACACACTAATTTCTTATATTGTCGATTTCAATAAAGTATCCACATGCACATTTTATAGATGTTAATAATTTAGGAAATATTTGATTCTAATGTACAGTATATAATTGTGGTTTTTATATATGATAACGCCCAATGATTGTCGTAATTTGTGCAACTATAGTAAATAGTATATTAAAATGCCGTAACTTACTATACTACTTATTATAGTTACTGCAATAATTGGGACGATTCTACTGCATTCTAGACAAGCTATTTCTAGCATCTAAACTAGCACGAACAATATCACAAGAACAAAACTGAATTCAATAAAATTTTTCTTATTTTTTATAAACATATAGAATTAAAGAAAACAATTCTAATCAAATTTGGATATGTAATATCTCTAGTGCTATTATAGATGCTAGAAATAGCTGGACATTTTGTTGATAGTATTGTATTGATAATATTGTAGTGATGTTGTTATCGTTATCTTGTCATTTTTTACTGTACGCGCACACATTTCAGTACGTAAAATAAACAATTGTGAGACCCCATAAAATTAGGTATTTTGAATTTCATTTAACATTCCTTTATGGAGTTTAAGTGCAATAGGGAAAATGGATAATTTAAACAAACACTGTATTATATTACATTATTGTTGGCAAGCCTGCATGCACGTGACTTATTGAAATCTCAAAACAAATGGATGTTCCGATTGGCTTGTTTAACTCCAGAGGGAGCCTTTGAGACGAAGTTGTAATTTAAAACAAAACAGTTCATAGAGATCAGTGTCAAAAATTCAAATGTGTGGTCCCCGACTTTTGAAATCAATACTGCTGTACTATAATATAGAGAGTTATGTTCTGCGTGACTTGTCGGAACTCTTCATCCTTCATCCTCCCTTGTATGGCCCACCAGGGTCTAGACACTTTTGCAGTAACGTGACCATCACGTGGTGTGACGTATTTTTTGCTTTAGTTTAGGGTTTGGGTTTATGTTAGGAATTGTGGTTAGGGTTATTAGCTTTATATATTATATGTAAAATTGCATTTCCAACACTTTTTGTTAGTGCTTAAAAGCCGATTTAAACACCAGTTTTCAAGTATTTTCGCTTTTCTCTTTTTTTCTTCTTGCACACGTGTTTTGTTTTGATGTTGGACGATCGAAATTTACGAATTTCAATTGGTCATTTTCCCTGTGCCACATCACGTTACTGCAAAAGTGTCTAGACCCCTGGTGGGGCTCCCAAGTATCATCACCAAAATGGTAGTATCATGTAACATACTGTGGCGTTCAAAGATTTTAGCCAATGAAATCAACGCAGTTAGCACAAGATGTAACAGGCGATTATGTAAAAATTTTTTATTTTTTTTTCTTTGTTATTCTTTTCTTTTTTTTTTATTTGTTTTTTTTCATTTTATTTTTTTTCATTTTGCACAGTATTTTTTTTTTAGCTTTAATACTAACCTTCTGTTTTTTTCTTTAGGTTTAGGTTTCCTTTTTTTGCATTTTTTTTTAACTTTGTAAGTGGATATTTGGAGTATACCTTAGGCTTTGCTCCTTGGATTCTTTATGTATTTTTTTCTTTTTTTATTATTTTTTTAGTATTTCTTTTTTTTTTTTTTAGTATTTAGTGTATCAATATTCTTGTTTAAGCTTTTAGGTTTTCTATTCTTGTTTTTTTTTAGCTTTGTAAAGTGGATATTTAGAGCATACCTTCATTTTGCTTAAAGATACTTAACAGTGTTCTCTTTATATATTTTATTTTATTTTTTCTCCTATTTTTTTTTTAAACATTTAGTATAGTAACCTTTTCTTTTTTTGTTTGCTTTATATGATTGTAAAATTTAATTTTAAGTTAATTAGTTAGGTGAAAAGGATCTGCAGCTTAAAGTTTATAGTAAATTCATATGTTTTTATTATAATTTTATTATAGACAACATTTTGACTCTTTTTAAGGGACATGTCCAGTGTTTGCTGAGCGCTTTGTGATGATAACCAGCGTGATAAATAACGAATTTTTTTTTTTACATTAATCATCATTTGGCGTAAAAATTTTCAAGAAAAAAATAATCAGTAGGCGAGGTGAATCGATTTTTTAAACCGTACCAATATTTTTCTATGTAGTCCGATCTATGCATAAAATCTGCTATATAAACCATGACATAGATTTGATTAATCAGTACATAAAACACTCCAACGCTACAGCAATGTTGCATTAAGCATTGTAGTATTACGGTTGACGGATTCAAGATCGTTATCCGTAATGTGTCCCAAATACAATATACTCTTGACACATAAGTGCTTATTGCTCTCGATCAAATGCATGATATTAATCTATTTATTCATGGTTCTCAATCATTCCTAATCTATTTTCTGCATTGTTCTGAATAATTTAACTTCAAATTTAGAAGTCACAATAAGGCCTAATAAAAGCTTTTCGCGGCGCTTTCTGCACTTTATCCGAAAGTAACACCATATCTTATTCTTATTGTGATCCCCCATCATTTGGCGCATGAGCACTGCACAATCTCGCAGTTAAATAAGGAGCAAGGTTGTGATCTAAGCTATTTCATTAAAACTGGAATTTATTTAGATAGGTCTTGTTACTAATTCTTTATCGGTAGAAGTCTATAGAAACGTCTCCCAATCAGTGTTCGAAATTAGTGTTCTCAGAGCTCTCATGAAAACATTATTATAAATTTGTGCACAGTATAAATTTTTTACTGTTCATTATTAAAAATTTTTCGAGAACAGTAAAATAATAATAGTGTTCTCATTTCTGTATAATAAACAGCTGCATAAAGCCAGAAACAGATAAATATACCAGTATTAATCTAAGGTAAAATAATAAACATTTACCTATTATTAAGCAATTTGAATCATTTTTTTAATACTAATACAATTATAGTATATATTTCTATTTTCTAATATACTGTATCTATTTTTTATTTTTTTTTATTTATTTATTGTAAACATAAAAGCGTAGCTTGAGAACACCTATATCTACTGCACTGTTCTCATGAGAACGGTATTTGGATCTGAAATTTTGAATACTGCTCCCAATGTATATAGTTGACGTCAAACAAGATTCTGTAATTCCGCATTGACGCAATATAAATGCGACAAATATGGCAATGCCTTCAATAATTTTGACGTCGATTATATTAATTTCGTAATTTAGAAAGCCTTTTAGTACTTTTTGTAAGTAGATCAATGTGAAAATCACCAAACTGATAAGCTTGTCAACGAAGTGACAAATCATCTAGCCTTTTATAGATGTGTTTATAATTAATTAAGTATATTTGTTGCATACAGGTACAGTATCTTTCGGTAAATTCATGATTGCATATGATTATTTTAATTGTAATAATGAAATGAGGTCAAAAGATTTGATTATGCATGTGATGGATTTATTTTTCGGGCAGAAGTTGTCATTCTTCCATCCTACCCACCCGTTTTGAATAGTTTAGCGGCTAGGGCTAAGTACGTATGTACTGTATAATCGCTATGATAATAATAGTGGTATGGATTAGGAACTATTAAGAAATAATGATTAATGAATAACTTAGATCTTGTTTTGATCGTTGGGCTAGTTTGAATAGAAATTTATTATTATTGTTCTTTTAAGCAATAATTATAACATGTTAGGATTAGGTAATGCTAAGATAGTGGACCTATTCCCAACTGTTTTTCTTCGATACAGCAATAGTTTTCGTTCGAGCAATAATAAGTATATATTGAGAAATTTCTATAGCGTATACTCTATAGGTAACATCTATTAAGTATTTTCGATTCAAAGCTTCAAAATAATCTATATTTTGCTAAATGTTACTACGGTCAATCATTCATAGTCATTGTCCAGTTAGGAAATTTAATAAAGGTTGCGTATTATCGTTATACAGTATATGTATCATCCAATTAGGCGGAAACGTTACTATACTTATGGATGCAGTTATTAGAGGTTGGCTATAGATGAGTATATAATGGCATAATTATGGCATATTTACAATTAACATTAAAATCTCATTGAAACTACAATATCTCATTTGGGTGCCGTCAAGGGAAAACCTACAATCGGACTTTCAAGTATATTTTGTGTACAGTTGGTTATCTGTGAGCCGTCTATGGTAAATCTATGTCCGATGATAGATTACATAGACGGCACACAGATAACCAACTGTACACAAAATATACTTGAAAGCCGATTTAGGTTTTCCCTTGACGGCACCCATTTATTAATTGATTACGTCATCTACCTCCGGAAAGAAGGTCATATTGATTATTAATCGAATAAATACTTTCTTGTTATCTGGCATGATTTGACGGATACATGGGTAACGTGGCCGAAGGTCTCGTGCGTTGCAATTATACTGCCGATGTCATAGGCAGACATTCGTATGATTGGCAGTTTAAATCAATTTAATTTTACATTATTTATACGGTTTAAAGTACTTTTTTAAAAAACAAAGAATAAACAAAAAAGAAGGATATAGAAAGTTTTATTAGGGTTGTAGGACTCTACTATTAAAAATAATCAAAATTCTTTTTGTTTTAGAGAAGTTAGCATGGTAATGACCTAATTTTAAGAAGTCGCTATTATTCTAACTTCTCTAACCGAAAAAGAATTTTGATTATTTTTATTAATGGAGTCCTACAACCCTAATAAAACTTTCTACATCTTTTTTTTTTTATTCTTCGTGGTTTTCCTTTTTTTAAAAAGTACTTTAAACTGTATAAATAATGTAAAATTAAATTGATTTAAACAGCCAATCATACGAATGTCTGCCTATGAGCTGCGCCGCAACACGGTTGTCACGTGCGTGACGGTTGATTGATGTAATTAATTTAGAGAATGTAGTAATAGGTAAGTAATGCATAGATAAATTATGCAAATGGAACAATGAGATAATAAGGGTGACAATGATTAGTAATAATAATAATTCCATAAGCATAGTAATCGATAACAATTAGTAATATAAAAGAGAAAGGAGACTCTCTTATTTGTAAAATCATATAATAAAGTATACCCTTTGCTTATTCTATTTGGTTTTACCTTAATCTTGAATAAAGCGAGTATTAGATATCTCTGAACCAGATATTCGGTATAGTTAACTCTAACCCCGTGACAACGATCGACATCAGATTGACAATAGAAATTCGGTGGATGATTTGGAAAGTCTGCAAAGAAAAGGTGTGTTGATATTAAAATAATGAGGTTCTGAATGGAATGTCGAACCTTAATGTGATTACCTGATGGAAGAAAATTTTGGAAGGCAAGACCACTTTTACGTCGTAGAAAGCCTCATCAAAATCAACGTTTTCTATTCAAGGGATAGTTGAAATAAAAAGGTGGACGTTAACAAAACGCGGAATAGAAAGTTCACAAAGTAAGGTAATATTGATATTCAATTGAAGTTCTAAATGGAATGTCTAGATGGAAGTTAAAGTACATTGATATTAGTGAATACACGATGGAAGAGTATCTTGGAATATAAATCCATTTTGCATTATGAACAGAAGAGAGTTTTGGAACATAAGTCTACTAAAAACCTCATTATTAAGATCAAAAGTTTTTCTATTGGTTTGAAATGGTTCTTAAAATAGAATTATTCGAATTTTAATCATAGGGTTATTCCCGAAAGATATAAAAGAATCGTAATTTTGTTCTCTAAAAAAACAAAACCCTGATTCCTAAAATATTATTTAAATAAAGAAATGCAATAAAAGAGAGTCTACTTACCCATAGCGTCTATTACATACAAAATAAAGTATTAAGAGTTTCTTATCATTAAATACGATTTTGATAAAGATATTCTCTCTAACATTTAATCTGCAAGAAAATGTCAAAAAGTCAGTTCAATACAAAAATTTTAAGCAATGGTATTATAGACCCTAACTTGCATTACGGAATTTGGTCTAAAGTCTGGTGGGAAACAGTTAATTTAAAATTAGATGAAGAATCAAAACAATTCGTAATACCTTATCGTTTGTACTTGTGCGTTGAATGCGAACTTAACAAGAAAAGCTTCGTCATTACAGTTTTGTCAAGTGTTCAAAATCCATTAAAGTCTGGATTTCAATGTACCTGTAGCGAAATTAAATCCAACGTTGAACCTCATCCATCAGCGGCGATTAACGCATGTTATCAACAAGTTTTTGGAACTAAAACAGAATACTCCGGTTTGGCTACTATAGGTTTCGAAAATGAGGATATTATTCAGGAGCTGATTGTTGATGTAGAAACTTTTCCAATATTTCTTCAAATTTTTGAAAGATATAATGTGGTAATAACCAGTATTGGTGATATAGACGAAGATAAATTTCATGGTGTTGGTACTGGTTTCGTTTTTTCGTTTACTACGTGTTATCATAATGCACAACATCTATTTCTTTTAAGTATTGAAGAAAACCAATGTAGTTTAGAGATTTATTTAGAATCAGAACGTATACTTCATATCACAGGAACAACGCCAGATGATGTTTGGAAGCAGGTAGGATTTTATAAAAAATATACCGGAGTATATCTTTTTGGAATTATATACGAATTGGTCCAGAAACACATAAAGATGCTACAAGATAAATCACCAACATGTATACCAAAAGACTGGATGAATATGCAAAAACTTAATACCGTATTTAATCGTCATATAAAATCACAAAAAATTTCCAATGTAATGCCTAGCTGGCAACTTCTTTTTTTTAAGTGGCATCAACAAGAAAGCACAGTTATCCAATTCTCGCTTATATTGCATGAAATTTACCCACCTGAATATGCTCTTCAAAAAAAAGAACTACGAGCATGGAAGGCAATGTTTCTTGCTTGCAGATGTACCAACGTAACCCCTATTACAAAAAAAGAATCTTCAATAGAGCTCTGGAGCAAAGCACCCAACCCCACTGCTGACAGAAAATTACTAGAAGCTCTGTATAAAAACAATATTCTTCAATTAAATGAAATTTCAACACCTGCACAGAATTCACAATCCATACAAGCCCCACAAGACATGGTTTTTTGGGATAGTTTCGGAATGCATTACTTTCAAATAAGAGAGGATCTGACGGTAAAATTCGCATCCTCTTAATTATCACCCTAAAGTTTAAATATAATGTTCTTAAAAAATAATTAAGTATAAGTAACGATACAGTACATAGTGCCCGAAAACATGCAAGGCTTTATGGTCCAGATGCACCACCCTTGCAAAAACCAAAAAGGACTGTTCAAAGATTTACTGATGTTCAAGAAGAACAATTTCTATTGTTTTTTCAGGATAAAAATAATGTTACGATGAGTTCATACTACGTAGATCCAAAAACGGAGTTACTAATTCTGTATTTACATGATCAAAAAAGCGAATTATGGGAAAAGTTTAATGAAACTTACCCAGATGGTATGAAAAAAACTAGCTTTATAGCTCGATTAGCTAGTTCAACAAACCTTAAATATCACGAAGATCTTGGTGGGTTATGCATAATTTGCAACGATTATAGATATGAGACCTTTGAAAGTTTAAAAAGCTTTATTTGTACTAATTTTACAAATAAAGATTCCATGATTAGTTTATATTTATTTAATTCTTAGAATTGAGATAAAGAACAGAGTTTATAGGCATACTCTCTTGCACATGCATATAAATATATTTACTTACCAATTGATTTTATCAGGATCAAACTCTGTTGCATCTTGATAAACTTAAAAGACATATAAGATGAGGCTATAAAAAAGAGTTGATGGTTAAAGCAGACGGTCATGTAGAGCATGATCCTTGTATTTCTTACTGCCTCCCTTATGCATTCGGTGAATGTATCAACAATCACAAAAGACGGTGTCCTAACTGTGATGAATTGTTTAATTTCCTAGATTTTATGTATCGATTAGTACCTTCAGAATTTCATCAACAAATAGATGAATCAAAAGAACAATTATTATATTATCTTTCTCATCAAACACGAAAGGTATATCTCAACACTCAGTTTAAAGCAACGCTGGCCGAGCTCGATTTTTATGGTGTGCTTGTTATTGCTGACTATAAAATGTGAGTACTACCTCAATCTGTGCGTAAAACAAAAAGTGAGTTTTATGGAAAATGCAGTTGGACATTACACACAATTTTGGTTATTTCTAAAAAAAATCAAACAGAATTAGATATTAAAGCTTATGATCACTGGTTCATGGATACAAAGCAGGATGCTTGGTTTTCCGCATCTGCATTTGAGGTAGCATTCGAAACAATGGAAAATAAGCCTAAATAGATTAAAGTAATATCTGACAATGGGCCACATTATCATAACTCTGAATTAATAGCCATAGTTAGATATTGGTACGAATGGTATGGTATTGAAGTCCGTAGTTGGCTGTTCTTAGAACCTGGTGAAGCAAAAACTATTGTAGATTCCTATCATGCGGCAGTTAGTGTCTTTTTTTTTTTAGATGCTATTTTTTCTAACTACATTATCTAATATACTCACTGCCATTTTCAGATAACACATGCAATAAAGTGATATTTGCGAATCAGATTCAATTTGGAGGAAAGAGATGATATAAGGAAGGCGGTTAAAAATCTGTCTGGAACTTCAGTAGAAAACATAGAACCGGATTGTAACGAGAATGAGATGTCAAAAAAATTAAAAACTAAAATCAAAACCATTAAGGAAATCTCCAAGTTATTCTATTAGAAATGGCCTACTAAGGGCAGATACAATGGATATATTAGTGCACGTCCACTACCTTATATCGGAGAATAGACAAACTTTTCACCTGCATATTTGAATAAACTTTGGAATGTTCCGCTTCAACAACCACAACCAACTAAGTCAGAACCTACAATACCGGAATCTGCATGGACAATTCCAATAGATGATAAAGAAGGTAGTTTGATTTAATATAATTCTGTAAAAAAAAAAACAACAACCTAATTTGTCAAAAAATAAAAAGATGATGTTAGTATGGGTCAAAATGAAGAAGAAAAAAGCCAAAATGAACCCTTAGTGATAATATCAATACCAAGATAGAATTAATAAATCTTATAGATATTAAAATTAATCCACTTACTAATTTATAATTTAGTATGATAGATAAAGAATTCCTATTGCCTAAAGGATGGGCGCTAAAAGAAAACCAAAGGTTAGGCAATGGAGGTGGCACTAGAATCAAAAAAAGTATAAAAACTATGTTAGAAGGTTTTTTTCTGAACGGGAATTGAGCATATAAAGACAAAATGAACACAAAGGCCATGTATGCCGAACTCCTGGAATTCGTTAAAAACGGAGACATTGA